GTGCTCAGCGGCGCCGAGCGCGCGGAGACTATCCGTCACTGCAAGTGGGTCGACGAGGTCATCCCCTGCTGTCCGTGGGTTGTGACGCCGGAGTTCCTGTCCGAGCACCAGATCGACTATGTTGCCCATGACGACCTGCCCTACGAGGCCGCTGAGGGCGATGACATCTACGGTCCTATCAAGGAACAGGGCAAGTTCCTGGTCACCCAGCGTACAGAGGGTGTCAGTACCACCGGTATCATCACACGGTATGTTTCACCTCCCACATCGAATCCAACGGACTAAAGCTGACATTATTATTTATAGGGTCGTCCGCGACTACGACCAATACATCTCCCGTCAATTCAAGCGTGGCGCCTCTCGCCAAGAATTGAACGTATCCTGGTTGAAGAAGAACGAGCTCGAGATCAAGCGTCATGTCGTCGAGTTGCGTGATAACATCCGCAACAACTGGACCATGACTGGCCAAGAGCTCGGCCGTGAATTGCGCCAGATCTGGCAGAACAGCCGTCCTAACAGCCCGGCGCCCAGCGCCCGCAACAGCATGGACTGGGGAATGCGTGGACCCCTCACCAGCCCGACAGGCGGCAGCAAGTCGCACCTGTCGCGTGTGGGTGCGGAACACAACCGCGCGGATAGCCCCATGGGCTCGCGCCGCAATGAGGATTTCGCTACTGGGTACAGTCTCGGGTTGATCGGAGGTGTGCGTGCTTGGGTAGGTCACATCCCATAGTCGCTGGATATGCAGCGCAGCTTTATCTAGTTTAACTCGTACTAATTTGCTTCATACAGATGGCCCGCAGTCGCCAATCTCTCCAGGAACCCCCTAGTGGGATGCACAGTCCCACTGACGAAGAACTCGAGTCCGAGCATAACAATGGCTATGACGAGGAGGTGCGTGGCCGTGCCGGTCACGTCTCTGCTCAGTAGATGACTTGGCTTGGTGCCTTTGATGCCGTATGTCCCGACGAAGCTACACATTGGGTGGTAATTATATACCTGCCATTCCAGTCCCTATAGCCGCAATTCCCCCCTGCCCCCTGCCCCAGCACACATTCCTCCTACTCTTTTGCATATGTATCCATCTTTTCATCTTGCATTCGGTTCGTGTCCTATACCTTTACAAATTGTCCCGTAACTGGCGGTTTCTCCTATGTCGGGCGCTTGGTGTCTTTTTTTCTTCTTCGTGAATAGACTGTATGTCGGACTTGGCTTGTTCGGGTTCGATGCAGTTTTTTTGTGATTTGTTTTCTTACTTGTCTTGATTTTTGCTTTGGTTGTGGTTCGGTGGTTTCAACGCTCCTCCTTCCCCTTAATACTCTCCCAATGAACTTTTTTCTTGTTTGATGTCTTTGTATATGGCCTTGATTTGGTGGTGATGATTGGTGACTCCTTTCCTCTGATCATGCTCTGACCATGATCTTTGATGTTGGTATATCCTCCAAGGCCATTCCTTATCCCCTGTTTGTTCTAGTTTGTTTATAAAAGCTGGAATTGATGGACAGCCGATCGGGTCTGGTACATCACCTCGGCCTTGATCATGTCCGGATATGAACTGCACATAGATTGAGATAGCTTTGTTTGATGTTTCAGTTTCCAATTGCGTGGCCAATTGAAACTTTGCAGGTTACTAGATCTGATAGATGTTGTGTCAGTATAGAATGTATGTCCTGTACGACTATATCCGTGAGCCTGCTAGCCCTAATCTTCGTATCGTCTCTTCTGGGGCATTGCCACCTATAGGCCGGATAAGTTATCCGTTTACCTGGACCCTGCATATGGATTGCCAGACTTGAAAAGAAAAGGAAACCTGTCATCCACCTGGTTTGTTTGGTAGATGTATAGACGAACTACGGATTTTGATATGTTGCATGCCATTTGATAGATACCCTGGATACTATCTCAGAGAGCACATACGAGGAAATCTCGACAGTTCCTCGACACACCTAAAGCGGCTAGTGGATGTGTGCCACTAGCAAAACATAGTGTGTGGGTAACCCTTCTCAAAACAAAAATGCGGCAGTAACGATGGATCAGAGGGGCCATACTCCACCTTGAAGAAGCTCTAGAGTATTCGGTCCACTCAGGCTACTTGTTCTTAGACTGCCGAGTCGTCTATGTAGACTTCGGATTCTGCAGATCCCGAAAGTAGGGTTAGCACTGAAACCGCAAAATGCCATGTCAATTACTGGGAATTAACTGTGGTTTTTATTATTCTATTCATTTCGTTCTTGTCGACATATATTTCGCATAGCCTATTAGAATAGTAACCTTGGATAACCTTTGAGTGGGAGTTCAGCCACCAGCCATCAAAGATCGTGACTTCAAGGGTTCGACAGACAATTTTTACCACGTTAAGTTTTTCTGTTTTGGATCCATCCCAATCGAAATATTGCCTTGCCTGGGTTCTTTTACTAGCTATATCTATCTGCTGGAAGGTCACCTGACCTCCATTGTTTGCTCCTGCTATATAGTCTTCCACAAACCTGTAGACAGTTTCTTCTTTCCCCACAACTAAGAATTTTCTAGAGTCACCTATCTCCAATAGGAGACTATTTAGACAATCTCTCACTATCATTATACTATATATATCTTTACAACGCATACAACCATTGATGCGCCTATATCTCAAAGCAGTGATCGCATCTCCTACCTCATCGTGATTTGCATGATTATCGAAGCTATGAGTGGCTTTGCATGAGCTTCAGCAAAACATATGTCAAGACGAAGGGACATTGGAGTTGAAACATCGAGCAAAATTTGCAGTCATCTCTTCACGCCTCACGGATTCCTCTTATACCAACGCTGAGAACTGTGTAATCACCCAGATTACTGGCCGACACTGGTGGCATAGACGTGTCCGCTATCCTCGAAGAGCGGGGCGCCTGGACGACCATGATGGCTTCGTTTTTCTTCTGTGTATGATTATTATAGGCATCTACAACACCGAGAAATAAAGCAATCACGAGGAATTTGACGGTCAATGTCCCCACTCATGTGACGAATCCTGTGATATGTTGACTACTACCCTACTCCCCATGGTCTTATACGAGGGTCCCTTCTGTGAGTCCTTTCCGCCAGGCTGTTTTACGGTCGTACCACTAACGCTTCGGCAGGATGTGACCACGAGATATAACCAGTTCCTGGCTATACGAGTCCACTTTCTCTACTCCACCCTTCCTCAATTTCTTTGGGCACGTTCCTTGCGGGACAAAGCTTGTAGGTTCATGAGCGGAAGGTTCAAATCCTAGCTTGGTGAGGGGCACCAAGAGAGCAGACATACAAGAGTTGTTGGCTGCTGGAACCTAGATTTACATCTTGTTGGGTGACCGGAAGGCGGTCACCCATGTGACTAAGATAAAGTGGACGAGAGGAGGAAAGAGAGAAGAGGAGGCGAATCGACACTGGTTGTTTTCCTCATTGCAGATACAACGTAGATCGATCGCCATTACATCTACTTTGAGTATAACGACAACAATGTACAGAATTTGGGGAGTGGAAGAAGATGTGCGCAACATGTTTTTATTATTGCTACTTGCTCACAGTCGATAGTTTCAGTTTCTTCATCACATTTGTCATAAATCATGCCCATGACCATGTCCATGTTCCTTGTAGACATTTTAATATAGCATTGCCATTTTATCGCAGGTACGTCTTTATGAGAGAAGCTATCGTGTATAATAACTGGTATGGAAATTCGGATTATACTACTATGCCATTATTACTATAAGCCACGCTGCCTTGTAGAATATGGACACATCCAAGTCTAACATAATTATAGCAGTTTAATTAAACATCATCTCGTATTAGGCACGCTTGCAGCATAGATTCAGGTTATACTAGGGTCGTATAGAAATTATAGTAGTTTGATTTAAACACTCATTACTAGCAGCGGCATCTTAGATTCCCTAGGGCAAAAGATTTCGTGGAAATGAGATGAGACAATTATTAGATAATATTAATGTACTACCTTGTCAGTTTTGTTCTCTTATTCCAGCAGTAAGTTGTCATATATTGTATTCGCGATGTTGAGCCGACCCAGCCACTATCGTCATGTACACAGGGGACATCTCTGTCATCAAAATTTGAGCATGTTTTCATTGTGTACAAGGATTATGTGGTTGAGTTTGGGCCCTCTGTGATAACCCTGCATGCTCTTCTCATGAGAAGAGCTAGTCTGTTTTGGTTTTAGGTGCATATGGCCAAGTGCAGATCTCATTCATTGGGCGTGGGTGAATGGAGCTAGTTGGTTTTGGGGTTTGTTATTTGGTATCTGTTTCAAAGCAGCCGTACTAGCCCTTAACGCCTCTGATATGGACGGCATTTTGTTACGTGCATCGCAAAACGAACTCTAGGCAACAGGCACGAGTTACTCGGAAATGCAGTCTCGTATTCGAGCACACGAGCAGCTGATCTCGGATTAGGCGATGGAGTCAACGAAGTAGAGATTCATTCTTCGGGGTCTTTCAACTATAAAACTGGCTCCATCGCCCTTGAATAATTTTTTTTTCAGACACACAGAACAAGCTCCAACAAGCCTTTTAAAGTCCACAATATCTGGTGAGAGCTCTAACTTGAATTCGTTCACAAAGTATGTCAAATCAAGTCTGACCAAAAGAATATCAGCAAACCCCAAGCTATAGCCACCAACAAATCACAATATGTCTTCGATTCGTCTATACAGACCGATATGTCAACTGTGTCGCAAGACCGAAGCATGTGATTACAACCTACGACCCTCAGCCGCCATGTAACAAGCCGAACTGCGGCGGGTACAAAGACCAGCACATGGGAGCGACAACCAAGAAAGGAGGAATATGCCCCAAGTGTTGATAATGGATCAGTGAAGTTTTACTTCAGAAGCTCTATGGCCTGTGGGGAGATTGGATTCCGTCACTTTGGCGATATGAGGTGAAAGCAGAGGGAGCCATGGAGGGGAAGGACGCTGAATAAACACCAAATCCCAGCTATTGAAGAGAACGTATACTCCTTTTTCCTCTCTAGATCCGGACATCCTCCTTCTCGGATATTCCCTGTAGTTGAGTAATATCCCGAACAACATCCCCAGCAGACTGGTATTGTTGCTTCCAGCATTTTTCCGTGATGTAATAGCAAATATGTTCTTGCTCAGCAGATGGAAATATCCCTTCCTCATATAAGGACTCTATCTTCTCCTCATCATCAAAGCTATCTAGCTCCGGAAAGGGTTCGTGTCCTGTCATGATGAAATAAATTGCGGAGCCAAGTGCAAAGAGTTCAGTGTGCACATCCGCATAGTCCCCGTGAACTCGCGGTCGAAATGACTTTGTACACTCACGAGATAGCCCATCTAGTAATGTTTTACCACTCGACTTAAGCATGCCTTGGAAATCCGCAAGTATGAGGTCCAAGTTCTCATCAAGGAGCAAATTCCGAACATTTAGATCACAATGGATAACACTCTTTGAATAGATATAACTAAGTGCCTCGGCAGCATGTTGGCACCGATGAAGCCTTCTTTCAAGAGGAATAACGTGATCCGAGGTGATATAGTCCATTAAGTTGCCGTTTGGAGCATATCCCAGAAGAAGACCATGCTCGGTCAGCCCCTTGGATTGGATTATTCGAGGATGAGGTCCAAGAATGTCGAGAAGTTGAGCCTCTACTTCAAGGCTTTGCCGGTCGCCAGGAACATGTGGGTATTTCAAGGCAGTCGTGTCATCAACAAGGCCGATGTAACTTCCACCACCCCAACCAATGATCTCTGAAACCCCCGGAGGAAGATACTGATGGATTACCCGAATGTCGACGTGGGAGGCGGGGGAATTTGACACATCATTTCCAGCCGGTGTCGTATCCTCCTATATTAATTAGTAATTATACCCAGGAGACTAAATATGGCCGAGACTTACAGGCTCTGGTTTCAATGTAGTGCCCGCTGATGGAATCCAGCCACGCAAAGCCCTGTAGATGGAACCGAATACAAGATTGAGCGGATAGCATATGGGTCTGAATAGAGTAGAGATTATTGAAAACATTATGGAAGGGTTAAGTGTTCCCTCGTCTTGGTGTCTTGGCTTTTCGAATGTACTGGGGACGTGAGAAGGAAAGGGGGAAGATAAAACGGGTAGATGTATGCAAACTAAGCAAATTGTATAATATGCAAACCCCTAGCTAGCCATGGATGTATCGGCTAATCCCCCTATTTCGGAAGGAGTTCGGGTTGTTTGCAGGAAATAGCGGGGTTTGAGGTACTCATGCGTTTAAGGGCTGACCGCTATAGTCATTGGTCCGGTAACATATTTGAAAGTAGTTGCCCTATGATCTCAAATGAGATATATAGTTATGCTGATGCTTATATTGCATAAGCAGAAGAAACATCAAGCAGCAGTAATAGCCAGCCTAATCCCCCTCCTCTTCCTTTCTTCCATATCCATCGCCTTCAACATCCTCCCAAACCCAACCCTCGGCTGACACAATATCCCCCTCAAACCCTCCCTCAAAAGGCCGACGTCCCTAACCAACTCCCCCTCGACCACCCCCTTAGCAAGAATATCACATCTAGCCGTAACAGCCAAATCAAACACATCCAATCCTCTAACCCCAAGAATCGGCTTCACCCACTCCTCCCCAATCCCAAACGGAATCCTCTGACCCGAAACAACCGCCTCCCCAGTACTCCCCAATACACTAGTAAACCTCCCCAAATCCAAACTCAACCCCAACACCCGCAATCCCTCCAACGAGGCGACAACATCCCAAAGCCGCACCCACAACTCATCACTATGCGTATGCGCATAGATCGACCCCTTATGATCCAACCCCGCCATCGGCACCCAGATCGGCATCCACTGAACCGTCAGTCTTGAAATGGCATTCCGGGCAACAGGCGACAGCGACGCCGCGAACGCAATGAAGGTGAATAGATCGTCGACGTCGAAATGCGAGGCTTTATACAGGATTGGCTCTGCTTCGAAATAGATGGCCCGACAGACGCGGAGCAGGGCACTGTTGCTATTGCTTAGGGTTGAAGGGAGAAGGGAGTGGGTGTGTGGGTAGAGGAGTCTGTCGCTGTGGCCTGGCACGCGGCCGTCGTAGATGCGCCACCGGGCTGGGGTTGTGGGGCAGCAGTGGCGATTTTGGGTTAGGGAGGGGTTTGACGGAAGTTGGGGTTTATGGGGGTTTTGATGAGGGTTTTGGGCTGGGGTTGGACAGCGCACATGGCGGATTTTGCCTTTTAGTTGGACTAAGTGGATGGTTTGAGGGGTTTGGGTGTTTGGAGTTGGGGAGTTGGTGAGGACATAGGACCATATTATTTGGCGGAGTTCAGGTGGAAGGCAGAGAAGGGGAGATTCTTGAGGTTCGAATTGGAATTGGCTTGATGCTGATTCTGGATTCCAGTCTATAGGTGGGTGGAGATTGCTCTCTGGGGAGCAGATTGCACGTGATTGGATTAAATCGCGGACGGTGTCGCGCCACCGATGGCCAGTTGGGTAATAATGCCAAATAGAATAGGGATCACGAAGGACCCAGGCGTCGAAGTGGCGCATTGGGATGTATAGAAGTGAAGAGTAAGAAATACGGGGAAATTATGGGGCAAGTGGGCTTTTATGGAGAAATCCACAATTCGTATAGACTAACTAGTACTGGACTAGACTTATATATTGAGGTCTTGGTTGTAACCTAATGACGTCGAGACAGTTGGATTTGGATTTTATCCCGTGGAGAGGGGATAACACAGATATAACACAAAAGTGCATATTATAAAGTGCTATATCTATTGAAGATTCCAAGGATCGTCATTCTTTTCAGTCATGTACGTGTAGTTAGGGAGTTGCATAGTCACTGCGAATTATCAATTGCGGTCTAGCGTGTCTATTCGGTTTTAGCGTGTTTATATAGAGTCCGGCCGCTTCAACTTTTCGCTACTTTCCCTGCTTTTGGTGTTGCCGGGTGTAAGGGGCCTGAAGTACGTCGTCATTGCTGTCGCCCGTGCTCTTGGCACTCCTACAATTCTATATTTATAATCATAGAGCACATATTTCCATCTTTCATAGGATTGTACCCTTTTCATTCCTAGACTTACATCGTAGCATACAGAAGTATATAAACAATGCAATGGCCGGAGCAGGCTCCTGGCCAATCTAATTTCAGTAAAGTATAGAGGTCAAAGCATCTACACGCTAACCCCATAACGATATATACAAAGGCTTAGGATGCAAGCGCAAAACTCAATTCCCCTGTTCTGACCCCTGCGCTCTCTCCTCATCATCGGCGTCCTTGAAACTCTCATCCTCAGTGGCGTCCTTGTATCCCTCCGCATCACGATACTCGTCCACTCCACTATCACTTCCGTTTTGGGCAGGACCCTCATGCGCAAACACTACAAAAATCGCACAAGCCAAGATAATCCCAGACCCGATCCAACTAATCGGAGTGAGCGTACTCCCCCAAACAACCTTATCATAGAATACCGCAAAGAACATCTGCATATAAACCATCGACGTAGCACGCGCTCCCTGCGCGACAGGCTTCCCATCCGAGACAGACGCAGGCGGGACGTACGACAAACCCGCCGTCAACAGGAACTGCAACAGGAACCCGCAGATACCGAGCCCGGTCAGCAGTGTCCATTCAACGGCCGTAATAGGCACTCGGAACGGCACAGAAGGCACGACCGCCATCGCAATCAAAGAAATAATCGTCGTCACGGACGAGAAGTACGTCACGGACACGAGGGGGTGGGCACGACGGCCGATAATACGGATAGTACTGTAAGCGCCTGAAGCACCGATCACGCCGATCAAGGCGACGATTGTCGCCAGGATGTGGTGGTAGGAGTCTGTTTCGGAGGGTGGTTTTTCGACGGCCGAAGTGGACAAGCCTAATGCCCATGCGGCGGCTGCGGTTGGGGTTGCAAATGAGACGCTTGGGTCGTGCTTGCCGAAGGGGCGGGCGATGAGCACGACGCCGCCGAGAGAGATTAGACCGGCGCATAGCTGTTTTCGGGAAAAGGTCTCGCCGGGGATGAGGAGCGAGCAGGCGTAGCAGGAGATGATTGGTGAGAGGAAGGTTATCACTGTTGCTTCGGAGAGGGGGAGGTATTGCACGGAGTAGTAGAGACAGTAAACGCCGGTGAAGCCGAAGAGGGCGCGGAGGAGGAGGAGACCGCGGACTGGACGTGTGCCTAGTGGGGAGGGTGTTGAGGCGATGTACATGTATAGGTAGCTTGCAATTGCTGTTATGGACATGCGGGCAAAGAGGATCTGGGGGTGTTAGTTTGGTTTGTAATAATGGAGGTATAGGAATACGGATATGTCGAAATTATATGATATCAAACATATCTTCCCTTTTTCTGTCTCTTACCTGGAAAGGATGCATAGAGCTATGGATTTCCAAGATCTGCGTCATGACATTCATAGAGGCAGCGAAGGCCTGCGACAGCAGGACCAGCCCCATACCCTTATTGCGCAGCCACCATACTTTCCATGCACGGCGGGGTCGCGCAGCTGCAGCAATAGCGGCAGCGTCGTCATATTCATCGTCCTCGATAGGACGGGGTTCTGATTGAGCCAGTGCTGGTCGGGAGTCGGCTTCGCTACCACTTTCACAGTTGTAGTCATGTTCATCCTCGCCTTGAGTTTGTGAAGACGATCTCTTGGATCTCGGGTTCGATCTCGACTGCTCCACCCGGATCGGCAGCGGTGCGTCCGGATGATCCTCGTATTGGTCGGCGCCTGAGGCCGAATCACGTTTTGAAGCCATGCTGGGATGTGAGATCTTGGCGTCGTTATTGGAGAGGCGATTGGTGCGGGGATTGTGGGGGATGGAAATGGAGGTATCTAAGATGACTTTTCCTCTCTCTGGAATCGGATTATTCTTTTATAGAGTCTGAGTGTACAGTGTTCTCCTCGAGAAGAGATATGCAGATAAACAATATATTCAGGCGAAAGGGAAGGATTCTTATATCTGCGCTGGACTGCCGATCTGGTTAAAAGAGATTTCAGCTCGAAATGCGCATGACGGCCGAGTGGAGCCCCCGTTGACCACTGACCGCTTCTCTTTTTACTTTCTTCTTGCTTTTTCTTTCGACTTTTCGTGACTTTCATGATCTTTGACTTGACTCGACTCGAACTGGTTTGTAGATTTAGTTGCCTTGTCCCTGGTTGCGTACTACCACGTACTCCGGACTGTACAAGAAGCACAAGCGGCACACGACCTACTACCTTATGCACGATCTACTAGCTACATATAAATATGCACCTAACGGATATTTATCCGCTTTCCTTTCCTTTCTGTGTTTCATTTCATTTCATTTTGTTTCATTTCTCATTCAAGTTTCGATTTGCGTGATATTGCTTACTAATCGCCGCTTCAAGCTTCCAAGGTTCCAAGGTTGGGAATCGAGCTACCCAGAGATGAGCTTTGTAGTTAAGAGTTTATGCGATCGGCCCCAGTCGTAGATCTAGCGAGCTAGACAATATACAACATACATATCCATGTCATAGAAAGCCACAGGGCCCGTGATCTCTCAGAATTGAAATCACATGGTCTCCTTTGATTGAGAAGGAGAGTGGAACCTCAGGATTGGTTTTATGATCGGGACCACCCGGATACGGTTACATAGTATTCTGCCAGCCGAGAACAGCTGTAGGGCAGCGATATTCCTAGTAGAGACATCGTAGATGGGAAACGTCATAACCAAGCTTTTAGCCTGGATTGGACGTCTGTGTCCCACACTTAGTGGACTACTTTGCTGGCTTTATAGTCCACCACTGACCGCGGCTTTTTCATCTTCATAGCGAGCAGCCTAGGATAGAGAAACAATCTGAGCTTCGTAGTACATTACTCCCCGATTCCAGGATATCATTACATTCTCAGACAACCTTGCACCGAAAATACAGTTTTCCTTTTTCTTTCGTTGCGTGGCAGGCCGAATAAATCGAATGGTACACGTATGTACAGCGTTGTATTCGATATCACGTAGGCTTCGTAGTGGAGAACTTCTTCACGACGACACTCAGGGTCAAGCCAATCACGAGAGAAAATGAGAGAAAATCGTCCAAGTCGGCTCGAACACCCGACCCACCAATCCCGAAGCGGAACATTTAAGACAGTAGATCCCTCATACAGACTGTCGAAGGAAAGAAAGCGTGCTTCTCTTTGATTAAGATACGTTCTTAGTGCAGAGGCCGTACTTGGATATTTTCATCTCACTATATGTCCCGAAGGGCAGGATATCGATTCCTCCAGCTCACTTTGCGGATGAGAGACGTATGGAGGTGGAAGATACTCGACCGTGGTTGGCCGATTATTCAAGATCCGCTTTTCGCGCAATGTGGGGTTTGAACACCCGACATCACTGGCTGTGATAGCACGTGACTTCCGAATAGCGTAGGACCAATTATACGCTATCAAAAAGACCCACACCTGTATAACCTCAAAAAGGACCTGTAAAAGAAAAAAAAATAGGTAGCTTCTCTTTGATTGAGCGTGTCATCCTTAGTGCAGGGGCCATGCTAATCTTCTCTGTATATTTTCATTTGACCATATGCCCCGAAGGGCGAAAAGACATCCTTACAGTTCAATATAACCTCGATTTTCGGCATAATTATACCGCCTATTACTTTGGGCCTAGGCACGTGATATCAAGTTACGTAATACTTTATACAGTACACGGCAGATTCATAGTTCTGTTTAACCTTTATTAATTAGTTATAGTTATGTTGTAGAGTAGGTTGATGACCGCTTGATCATGCATCCTCTAAATCTGATTATTTCTGTCACTGCATCCACTTCCCTCAAACACCTACCAAAGAAATAGTACAAATGATCAGTTGCTGCTCACAGATTCTCACTAAAAATCAGAAAGAGAACCTGTTATAAGTCATTGACACGGTATTTGAGAGTTGCAGCCAGCGGTACGGAGTAGATATACCTAAAGTAGTTAGTTAAAGTGTGCCGCAAGCGTAGTAGTCGGTCTCAACTAAAAATTGCAGCCCTAATTCTTCAATCCACCGTGATGCTCCTACCGTCGCCAGGATTACGTCTGAGAGCGAAGTGTGAGGCACCTATGTATCTACATGATAAATAAAGAACAGTGCAGATGAAGTGGTATGAAGGAATAGTTCATACGATCATAATAATATCGACCTTGAGAAGCATACACGGCTATATTTATACAAAAGTAAACGTATCACCTCCCTTCTCCTGCAACATATTTCCAGTCCTCGAGGTACCAACAATACGCTCCAACTTCAGCGCATCCCACTTCGAGAACAGCGCACGCACACCAGCCTCAGCAGCCTCAATCAAAGCCGCAGGATCAAGACCCAAGAACCCAACGATCTCGCCATAGAACAGCGCGTTATCTGGGAGCCCGTACATGACCACACGCTTAACACCGCGGATCTGGTAACGGCGGAAGTGGTGAGCGCGCTCGGTATACAGCAGCACAGAGTGACGGCCGGACACGAAATGACTGCGGGCACGGTTAGCCTCCTTCGGCTCGGTGTACTCGGAGATAGCGCCAAAGGAGACATTGGTTGTT